GGTGTTTCAGCCTGGGTTTGCAGCAATACGGCACAACGAAGCATCCAAGGCCTGCATATCTTGGCACCACATACAGGCGGCCTGAACTGGATCCATATAACAAGCTGTAAATACCCTTGCATAACATCTGTCTGAGCAGTGACTCTACTTTGAGGAATTGTCATTTCTTTGTCTAAGTCATTAATTCTATTTGACATAATGAGGCCATCAAGCCTGTCAGGCCCTCCTGTGAAAGTTCCTTCACACCGTCTCCTCCATCCCCTTCCCTCACACACAACGGTAACTGTCACGGCTACACCCAGGCTTCACCATCGACTCATGGCCCTGTCTGCGTCCAGTATCTCCCAGAAGCAATGCTGCCAAAGCAATATTCCTGAATTATCGCCTTACACCACATCCTTTAATTTAAACAAAGCTCCTGAAGGCTTCCTCTGTGAAACCAAAAGCCAAAGAGTTTATCTTCACATTTAAGACCTCTCATAAACTGGCTCCAGCCTGCATTCCCACTGCACCTGCCTTAGTTATTTTACTCTGAAATCAGGCCATCTACTAACCCCTCTGTCACAGGCACACCCTTAGCTACTGTCCTTCTTCTACCTGCTCAAGTACTCCCTTGCTATTTCAAGTCAAACACAAAAACCCAACATCCTCTCTTCATTGTCAACCAAAGGCAAGAATGCTCCGCTTCAACTCTAAGCAGTATCATACCAACAAAACCCATCTGTTATTTACTTACTGCATTGAGTTGTCAACTAGGTTAAGCTGTGCTCTCTTCACCAGATTACACTGAGGATAAAACCCAAAATATGTGGTAGTCCGTTGCTACTTTTTATCTTCTGATTCAGTGCTACATGCATAGTATATATTTCACTGAATAAATGATCAAAATTCATCCATTCAGCAAATATTAAACAAATACCTACTGTGTGCAAGGCATTACTAAAGGCACAAGGAAAATACAAAATAAACCATATAGATTAAATTTCCATCTATGTAGGGCTTATATTCTAACAGAGGAGAAATAGAATTTTTAAAGTAAGTTATAGGTAATCTTAGATGGTGCTAAATGCAGTGGAATGAAATGAAGCAGGAATATGGAAGACCTCTCTGAGAAAATGAGATTCAAGCAAAGGCTTCAGCGAGGGGAGGGAGCTATGCAGGTGGGTATCTGGAACACTCCAGGAAGAAGAGTAAGAATTAAGATTGTGAGGTGGGAATGTGCCTGATAGGTTCACAGAAGAACCGAGAGGATGATGTGGGAGGGAAGGAAAGGGATGAACAAGAGCTCCACTGAGGGAAACCTTGAGCGCCAGGAAGGACTCTGGTAGCGCACTGGGTGACAGGCTGGGCCCAAGCTGGGAAAGATGAACTTCCATGTTCCCTTGAGGACAGGCAAATGGGGGAAAGGAGAGCTGAATAAAGGAGCTCTTACAGCTAGCTAACAAGGCGAGAAACGATGGGACTGTGGAGCAGAAAGGGGCAGGAAGAAAGGAGCGGGTCTGACTGTGGGCGTATTTGGAAGGTATGCTGAGGGCTCTCAGAGAAAGGGAAGTCAAGGCCAACTCCAAAGTGAAACAGAACTGCCACTTACAGGGACAGGGCCAAGCTTAGGGAGAACAGATTTCAGGAGGCCGAGGACATTTCAGAAACTAGAAATTTTAACACCAAGTAATGAATGGGGAGATTGAACAAGCAAAGAAGATACAGGGTTCTAGAGCTCAAGGGACAAGACTGAAGGGGTCGGGAGTTGTGCACAGATGGTATTTAACGCTGTGAGACTACATGAAATCAAGAGTGCAGACAAGGCCCGAGGAGTTAACCCGTAGGTGCCATGGGGAGCCAGCGAGGAAGACAGGAATGCGGCAGGAGGGCCACGGTGACACAGCCACCCTGAGCGCAGATGGAGCTTGCCACAAGAGTTCATGTGCACGAGGGATCTGACGCTGGCTCACAGGCAGTGTGGTAAGGAATTCATTTTTCCTACTCACACAGCAGCCATGCTGAGGTAACTCTTAGTCACAGGCTACTAAACGGCAGGGATATGACACGGCTTTCCAAGAAAGGACAATGTCAGTAACACAACACAGCATGCTGATCTCAACACAGCGAGACGGGTTAGAGCAGGAGTGTGCAACTGCAGCTCTGCTGATATTACTGGCTGTTGTGGTAAGATGTGCAATTTTTAAAAGGTTTATCTATGTACTTATTTATTTATCTGAAAGGCAGAGTTAGAGGTAGAGGTTCCACCCCAAATGGCCACAACAGCTGGCACTGGGCTGGCTGGAAGCCAGGAACCAGGAGCCACGGGTGCCACAGCTGGTGGCTTTATCTACTATGCCACAGTGCTGAACTAACCTACTGACATTATAAGCCAGATCATTCTTTACTGTGGGATACCGTGCTGTGTGTTATGGAATCGGTACCCACTAGATGTTGGTTACAACTCCTCCCTCTGCTTACTCACTGTAAAAACCAAATACATCTCCAGAAATTGTCAAATATCCTTTGTAGGGAAAGGGGGAAAAAAGCACTCAAATTGAGAACCACTGAATGAGAACAAACGATCAATAAACTCAACTCCTAGGATCAGCCTGGTGGCACACCAGACTAACCTTCCACCCTGTGGAGCTGGCAACCGATATGAGCACAGTTCATGTCTTGGAGACCCATTTCTGATCTAGCTCACTGCTAATGGTTGGGAAAGCAGCTCAATCCCTTAGGCTCATGCACCCACGTGGGAGACCCAGAAGAAACTCCTGGTTCCTGGCCTCAGATCAGTTCAGCTCTGGCTGTCGTGGCCATGTGGAGTGAACCAGCAGATTGAAGTATTGTCTCTCCATCTCCTCTATAAAATCTGCTTTTCAAATGAAAAAAAATAATTTTTAAGCAAATTCATTACTTTCTACTAATGCTGTGCACTTAGCCCTACCCTGTTCTCTGTTTCAGGTTTTTAACCAGTCACCTGAATTGGAAGGTTCTAGTTGTATTCACCACCCACAATGAGAAAAGCAAGCAGATCAAACAGCCACAGAAAATGCACCGTGCTCCCAATTCCTGCTAACACGCACCATGGAAGGCAGCAGGGGAAGGCTCAAGCATATGGGTCACTGTCACCCACATGCGGAGCCCAGATGGAGTTCTCCGTTAGCAACTTTGGCCTGGCCCATCCCCAGCTACCACAGATGCTTGGGGAATGCACCAGCAGACAGAAGCTACGTACACACACGCGTGTGGGTATGCATTTCTATATTTCAAAAAAATAACTTCTAAAAGAAAATTTCTGAGTACAACCAGTTAAAAATGACAACTAATTTCACAATGCATGGGCAAAAGCAGCACTATTCGCAATAGCTAAGAGCTGAGGCAACTCCAGTGCCACTGCGTGATGGACAGCATTTCCCCATGGGAGTATTTATTCAGTCTCCAAAAGGTAGCTGGTTCTGACACAAGGATGAGCCTGGAACACACTATACTACTTGCAACCTGCCAGGCACAAAAGGATGAATACATCATGATTCTGCTTTTATGAGGCAAATGCGGTAAATTCATGAAACAGGCTGCTGTGGGCTCTTGGGTGTGAGTCAGCAGGTGAAGGATCTGTGCCTCTCTGTCTTGCTAATGAAGTAAAAATAAATAAGTAACATTTTAAAAAGTTTCCTGGGGTGGAAAGTAAATGACAGTTACCAGGGACTAGGGAGGCAGGGGAGGGGGAGAGGGCTGGTGGGGGATGGGAGGCGTGGCACAGCAGAAGCATTAAATGGGCACAGGGGCTCAGAGTCACAAGGTCAGAGTTTCTGGAGATCATGCTCAGCAGGTGAATGTACCTACCACCACCTAAATAGAAAGAACTGTAAGAACTCTTTACAGAGAGAAGGAAATACAAAAGGATCCTGCCTCTGCTGGTCTGCCTCCCCAAATGGCTGCAATTGCTGGAGCTGAGCTGATCTGAAGCCAGGAGCCAGAGTCTCCTCCAGGTCTCCAACATGGGTGGAGGATCCCAAGGCCTTTGGTCACCCTCTACTGTTTCCAAGGCCACAAGCAGGAGCTGGATGGGAAGTGGAGCCGCCGTAATACGAACTGCAGCCCATGTCGGATCACAGGGTGTGCAAGGCCAGAGTTTAGCCAATGAACCATGATGCCGGGCCCAAGAATTCCTTACTAAGAAATGATCAAGTTGGAATCTGATACAGTTATTAAACCACCAGTTGCAATGTCTGCATCCCATGGTGACATGCCTGGAGCCCCGGCTCCTCTCCTACCAAAGCTGCTTCCCACCAATGTGTACCCAAGGAGGGGGCAGGTGATAATGCCCCATGTTGCCCATGTTGGACATTCAGACTGGGTGACAGTCTCCTGGCTCTGGAGGGCATTTGGGGTATGAACCAGCATATGAAAGAGTTATTTCTGCCCGTTTCTCTGATAAGAAAATCATTTACTAACTGAACATATTAGATACAAAATAAGGTTAAACTCTTATCCACTTAAATTACATTCACTGCCATAAATTTATCATGTCACTTTAAAAACGTGGATCTTGGGGTCCAGTGCAATAGCCTAGCAGCTAAAGTTCTCATCTTGAACACACTGAGATCACATATGGGCACCAGGTCTAATTCCAACAGCAACGCTTCCCACCTAGCCTCCTGCCTTGTGGCCTGGGAAAGCCGTGGAGGACGGCTGAGGGTCTTAGGACACTGCACCCACTTGGGAGACTTGGAGAAAGCTTCTGATTCCTGGCTTCGGATCAGCTACTTACCAGTGGATGAAGGATCTTTCTCTCTGACTCTCCTCTCTGTGAGATCTGCCTTTCCAATAAAAAATTGATAGATCTTAAACACATACACACATGAAAGAAAGAAAGCAGGGGAAAACTTACCACTCACTTTTGGTGGCAAGCAAGAAGCAGAGTACAGACTACATGTTCTTAGCTCCCAAAGACAAGCACTCCAGTCACAGGGATGGAAAATGGGAACACACAGCGAGAACTGACATGGTCTAACCTGCATGGGATTGATCTTGACAGAGCGTTCAAAGCACTCCACACACTGCTGAAACTCCTTGTTGCGAAGGTGAAGCAGGGCTTTGGAGCGCTGAGCCCGGGCACTGCGGTGGCGGGACAGCTCCCAGGCCTTGTCGTAGCAAGCGTGATCCCGGAGGACGTCGCCAAGTAAGCAGTATAAACGCGGGGTCTCTTTTTTCTCCAGCTCTTGTCTAAGGATTTCTTCCGCCTAGAAACAGCAACAGAAATAACAAAGTTGCTTAATTGTGACTGATAATTTTTAGCATACGTACATATTTTACTTCACAAGATGCAAAATCCTTTTCAGCATTTGAGAATATTTATTTATTTTAAGTATCTACGACAGAAAATAGATTAAAGACCAATGGAAAGCAAATGCAGTACAAGTAAAAGACAGAAACAAGGGATGAGAGTGAAATGCCACTCAACTGGCCTTCTAGAATCCTCACGGAAAAGCACCAAAGAAAGGCTTCCTTCAGAAGAGCAGGTGGACTATTCAGTGGTCCCTGGGGTGGCACTATTGGAAGGTGCCCCACTAGCCCTACTCACGGCTGCAATCTACTGTTGGTAAAGGGAGCAAGAGGCAGTAGCAGTTTTACTTCACATCCTCAGAAACATAAACACCTTGAGATAAATAGCAGTGGGGCTGGCAATGATGCTAAGACAGCTTTTGTCAACACAGACGGACAAACCCAGAAAAGCCATCCTTCTATAAACGAACATGAGAGTTTGAAAGACCTTAACATATACAAATCTGAAAGTCTACTTGATTTTCTTTAGGTTGGACACAGCTAAAATCCTTGAGCAGCCTAATTTCTGTGGTATCTCTGAAAGCAGAGCTGTGCTTCTGATAGGGTAAAACATCTTTGGATGTTGGCCCTTCTGCATTTGACTCAGAGTGGCTGAAGCAGGCTGTTAAGCCTAATCTGAAAATGGAACCAGAATCCTAAAACAGCCTCAAATGGAAAATTATTCTAACTCCCAAATAGCAAAAATAAACATGCAGGGACAGCACTGTGTTGTGGCAGGTAAAACCAATGCCTTTAGAACCAGCATCCCATACAGGCGCCAGTTCAAGTCCCAGCTGCTCCGCTTCCAAACAAGCTCCTTCTAGTGTGCCTGGGAAAGCAGCAGAGAACAAAAGTACTTGGGCCCCTCACTCATACGGGAGACTTGGATGAAGCTTCTGTTTCCTGGCTTTGGACGAGCCCAGTTGGGGCCAACATGTCCTTTCATGTAGTGGATAGAAATTTTCTCTCTCTCTCTCTCTGCCTTTGAAACGGATAAACAAACAAATAAATATGTAAGTTCCTGGCTCCATGCTTTAGCTTGGTCTAGCTATGGTCATTTCAGCCATTTCAAAAGAAAAACAGCAGATGAAAGATCTCCTTCTCTCTGTAACACTAATCTTCAAATACATTTTAAAAAAAAATCTTTACAGTCTTTACATGCTTTACAAATAGTAAGCATGATGTTTTAAGATACAATTGATGCAATTTCTCTATTTACAAATAATGTTACTAATATGCCTAATCACAACTATAAAGTCACCTATAAAGAGATATACTCGGGCCCTGCGTGATAGCCTGGTAGCTAAAGTCCCCTCGAATCCCGTTCCCATCCAGCTATCTGCTTGTGGCCTGGGAAAGCAGTCAAGGACAGCCCAAAGCTTTGGGACCCTGCACCCATTTGGGAGACCCGGAAGAGGCTCCAGGCTCCTGGCTTCAGACTGGCTCAGCTCCAGCCATTGTAGACACTTGGGGAGTGAATCTTCAGACGAAAGATCTTCCTCTCTTGTCTCTCCTCCTCCCTGTATATCTGCCTTTCCAATAAAAATAAATAAATCATTTTTTTTAAAGAGAGATATACTCATCAAAAATTATACCTTAAAGATCATAATGGCAATAGAATTTTTGCTGAGATGACAGAATAGTTAAATGCACTTTTCTTGACAGACTGGCACAGAAAGTTGGACCTTATACAGTACTGCAAATTCTGTGAGTTAATTCACATAATAAGCTCATTTCTGTATATTCAGTTACAGTGAATTCTGGGGTCTGCAACCAAGCAAAAACTATTGGAGTGAGTGAGTACAGAACAGACTGCTGGCAGTAAAACCTTGGGGGTTAAAATGGGATTTGTAACTGGCATCTTATCTGATGAGCTTTGAAGAAGTGAGTATGCAGCGATCATGATAGGGTGAAACATGGTTACCCATGATATCCAGGGACGAAACAACTGCATAAAGCACCCACCAAATGCAGGCTCTGTGCATGGAGTTGTGGGCTATTTCATGAAAGCACAAATCAACGATGTGTAAGCTGGCTGCCTTCAAGTTCACTGGGCAGCTCAAGAGAGAAAATGATACTCAGATTTTTAAATAATCAAGGTCAGAGAATTTCTACAATTACTTAAAATAATTTATTTTCCCTTATAGCTGCCAAGCTGGGGCAGCCGAAGCCAAATGTGGGTCAATATTGCTCTACCAGAATTGCTGGATTAGGATGTTTGAACTAATTCAGATTCACTAGTTCAATGCAAAACTTAAGGCATTTTGGTTGGACTGATCAAATATATTTTGGTCTTCTACCTGATTTTTCTTCCACTGGCAATTAGCTATACACTATTTTATTTTTTCTTTTAGTGATTGACTTTGGGTGGACTTGAGATCACAGGAAGTGATACGCTGCAACCTGCCAAGTTGGACTGTTCCTGGAACACTCACTTGGAGCCCTGTGTGCCTGATTAAGCAGCCCTACTACCTGAGATAGCGGCACTGTGAAAAGCCCTACACTAACTGATTCAACAGCAAAAGCCACACAGAAAAGCCCTAGGATTGGATGAAGAGTTGCCTAGTTAGTCCTCAGCTGTCCCAGCTGCACCTGACACCTGACGACACGGCATATCTCACGTCACTACCAAGGCATGCCCTTCCTGAATTCAGTCCACAAAAACTACAGAGAAAAAAATGGAGGTTATATTTCTGAGCTACTAAGTTTGAGTAAGCTTGTAACACAACCATAGTCATCGTAGCATCTGTTAAGTAGCCAGAGGTTAAGTTCAGTACCAGGTACTTCACCATGGCCAGAGCAGAAGAGAGCACCAATTGTGAAAGGGCAAGACCACAGCATTTAAATAGATGCATTTGGAATGACTTGGATAACAGAAACCTTCAACCCTCTGAGACTACTACATCAGCAGAGGCAGCCCTTCCCTACCTCATCAGTCTAAGGCTACATGGATGATGGTTATATGGATAGCAGGTTTCCATCCACATAGCTTCCAGACATAAATAAACCTGCATGCAAAAGACTGCAAGATTTTGTGAATTTACAGGGGACCATGTGGTAAAACAGGGTCCAAGCGTGTTACAACAGAGACAAAAACTATCATAATTTGATTCAAGCTGAATTTAGATACCCATAGCTGAATTTAGATACCCATCAGTAAGTTTTGATTCACATTGCAATTCAAGCAGCTGAGGATGGTGCTAAATTATTTGCTCAACTGCTTCACTAAAACCTGGATTCAAATGTGGCTCAAATTAAACAAAGTTGAGATGCCAGAAATTCCTTGCTGTTATGTGGAGGAAAGAATCCAAGAACTCAGAATAAAAAGGTGGTTGTTAATTCTTCATTTGTAACCTGTTCACCCATTGTTCATTATGTCCCTTAATTGGACCCAGGGGATACTCCCTTCATCTTGGCTTTGAGAAATACATAGCATATGGATGAACCAGCATTCTTGGAAGATGCTATGGTAGATGTCTTGTGTAAGGCACGGAAGAACTTGGATGTCATGTTAAAAAGAGCTTTATTATTGCAATGGGGATGATTAGAACCGAGGCTATTGAGGTCTGCTAATAGCACAGAGACCCTGGAAGCAAGAGGATCACAGTAATTTGTAACAGGCATGGCTTCAGTGATCTTTAGAATAGTTGGGCCAGCACGGATCTTAAAGAAATGAGTGACTGATCGCCAAACTTTAGAGCCAAATTAGATGAATAGCCGACAAAGTACAAACTTGATTTATGTAACAGAAGTCAATTATTTAAAATAAAACACAATCCAAGACTGGAGACCAGATGCCTCCCATGAGCTCCCCCAGGCTAAGACACTGTCTCACACCTCATTCTTAGCCCTGAGTCAGTTCAGACTCAGATCCTCTTAAACAGAAATAAAGGAAAAGCCAACATCATGGAGGAAGAATCTTGCAAGAGCAGAGCAAGTATACAATGTAGTTCTTTTCCCCTCTTCAATGCAACCATTTAACAGTTAACCGTGTGCAGGGGAAAAATATACAATTCATCCTTACAGTGTTAGCTTTAGTTAATGTTAATCCTTCGAGACACAGAACACCACTGTGATGCGAGAATTGGGTTGGAGAGTCAGTTCACCCCTGAGAGGGCTGAGTAAGTCACTGGGCCACACCATGCCAGTTCCTAGTTCTTGACTATGGGATGGAGTGAGATTCACCAAGTAGTCAGCAGAGCCTCTGGAGAGTACAACTGCAGTACAGAGGCCAAGTGAAAGTCCCAGACGCTTCCTCTGCCCATTAAAGAATAAATTCAAAGCAACAATGTCTGTCTATGGAAACTCTCAAACCTTTTAAAACAAATGCCTTTCCTAAGGAAAAACTCAGGTGCATTTTATAGGAAGTAAGAATCTTTTCATCTAAACATACATTAAAGAGGATAAAAGCACATTCCTAAATGCATAAAGTCACCAATAAATGAGCAACTGCTCCGGATGAACCTGTATGGCTTTAAAAAATCTTACTAGGGGCCCGGCACGGTGGCGCAGTGGTTGGGGTCCTCGCCTTGCATGCCCGGGATCCCATATGGTAGCCAGTTCTATCCCGGCAGCTCCACTTCCAGCTCCCTGCCTGTGGCCCGGGAAAGCAGTTGAGGACGGCCAAAAGCTTTGGGACCCTGCACCCACGTGGGAGACCCGGAAGAGGCTCCTGGCTTCGGATCGGCATAGTATCGGCCGTTGTGCTCACTTGGGGAGTGAATCATCAGACGGAGGATCTTCCTGTCTGTCTCTCCTCTCTGTATATTCGCCTTTCTAATAAAAAAATAATAAAAATAAATCTTTAAAAAAAAATCTTATTAGATGTAAGTTTGAAAGACCATTCCCCAGTTCACACATACACACAGATTTAGGCTGTTTCAATAAATACAGTACTAAATAGTCAAGAAAAAGAGAG